GACAAGTTCCAGTTCAACCGGTGGCTCAGTTCACAGGTTCTCCTTCCCCCGGGGAGAGCCAGGGTGCCTCGTGGCGTCACCACCTCCACCGTACACATCTGGCTGCTTCCAGACAGCCCACACAGTCCACCTGACCCAGCCAGCCGGATTTCTGGTGTCGCCACCGTACTTCGGGTATCCTCTCCAGCCAGAGCCTGCCCTGGCTGGGAAGAGCTGCTCTGATTTTACTCAGAGCTGAAAAGAGTTGTGAAGAAGTAACAGAGCCTTCAGAAGCACAGGGACTGCTGCTGGTGGGTGTCACACTGATGTGCTCTGTGGCTGTAGAAGTCAGAACTGTTCCCGTGGGTGAGTTGCCCTTAAAAAGTGCACGGTCTTGCTTGGGATTGCATTTCCCAAACTTGGATCACACTTACAAATGAGCTGTAAAACATCCCAAACTGTTGCTCTAAAAATGGACTGCTCTGATCCCTCAGCCTAATTTGTGGAGAATGTGTTCAGAGACAAGTAAAAGAACCATTTTGGGATAAAGGTACTCATTTCACAGTGTAATAAATAACATTTTACTAGGGTAAAATGCAGTTAACTTAGTTAACAAACAGTGGTGGCGTTCCACTGATAATAATCAGACTAGTTCTATAAAGCAGCAATAAGCCTGAGAAGTAAGAGAGAAGTAAGAGAGAAGTAATGCTTACTAAAGAGGATCCTTAAAACAGCTGACTGCTTACCACTTCCATGAAAAGGAAGAATTTTAATAGATATCAAAATGAGCAGATTTTTAAAAAATACACATACCTGAACTTGCACTGCATATTTGTAATAGTAAATTTTAACTCTGATAGATAAAACTAGTACTAACTAGGCTAGTTGAAAATAAGTCAGTCTCAAGCAGCCAAATTACCTGTGAGGGAAGCAGAATGTATTTAGCAACATCACCAATAACTTCTCCACATAAAATTCTAAAAATTTTCTTCTATGTAAAGCATTTTTCAGAAGGAAGTATTTATTGTCAGCTTTTTGCTCAGCAAGGTGTAAGTTGGACTGATCATGAAGTTCTTTTTGTAAAATTAGCCATGTATAAAATGTAAAGACAAACTTGTAATTTAAAATGTATTTACAGCATTGACAACACTAATTATTTAGTAGTCACACACACAAATTACCAATAAACTGTGCAGTTGAAATGTTGTGTCATCTGTATGACTCTGTACTGGTAGTGTTTGGTGAATTTGATTGTTGTAACTGTTCTGTATTTTTTGCTGTTAAATCAGCTTATTTTACTTTTAAAAATTATTTACATCTTCAAATGCACCTGTTGTGCAGATTTAATATAATATAAAATTCTGACTATATAGCAAACTAATTAAAGTCTTTTACATGCAGCTGTGGTGAATACAACACTGATTAGCTGGTATTTTAGATTAAACATCCTGCACTAGGAATAAATTTTGTTGACCCTTCTACATTCCTTCACCCAAGTAAACCAACAAAGCAAATGGAAGAAGAAAAAAAAAAGCATCTAAACACATGCAGTAAGCAAATGTAAAATACACAAGAAAAAAATGCTGTCATTAAAGGGCTTCTCTGTATACTTATTTTTGTGATCAAATGAAGTCATTCTGTGGATCAGAATCTACAATATCAAAGGCTGAGCTTTCCTGTTTTATCAAGTTTAAAGTCCCTGTGTATAGGATCTGTTGAAGTACATTATAGTTGACCTATTTTACAAGTATTTTAGAAAAGCTTCATTGGTTCTTCCTCAGGAGTTGAATTTTTTTCTTAACAAATATCTAGTGATCAGTAGTTAGGACAAAAATATTTTAAAATAACCCTTTTAATATAGTTTTTATTGCACAATTAACATTACAACAGACATTACTGCCTGAATGCAGTTTCTAAGCAGAAAGACAAATTGTATACAATGATATAGGCTTTAGCTTGAATGCTGTAATTGTTAATTACAACCTAACTCATGATATACGGTCTTGTATATGTTTTACAAGATACTAAAAATTAGATTTTAAGTACTTGGGAAATTAATTGAAGGGTAAGTTTTCTGGCTTGCAATTTTATTTTAGAAACAATCTTGAAGGGCAGGTAAATTTTTGCTCACCTATGATGTTTCATAGGACTCTTCCTGCATATTTTGAATGGCTACTAAATATGGGACTGTTCATCAAGTAACTTTTCGGAAAAATCATTAATATTGCAGTAGGTATCAGCCCTGTTGTTTGGAAGCATACTGTGTGATCTGCTGACCACTGCTGTATTAATAGCAGAAACAGTAAACCAATTAAATGGATTTTTTACAAGTATAGTAAAGACTTTGTAGTAAGTCTCCAGTTAGTAAAAATCTCCATCTAGTAAACCAAGGCAACACAGACCTCTTCATGAAGCAGACACTTCATCAGTTTTAACTAAGAATGTGCAATTTATGTACCTTTAAAGAGTACTTAAGCCATCAGATGATTTGACACAGGTGGTGAGTGGCTGAAATTCAGTGTTTTCATCAAAGATAGGCTGTATGCAGCAAAGTCAGTCTTGACTTAGGCTCAGTCACTGCCCATTTCCATTTGGTGCTGTACACCGGACAGGCCGGGCTGCTTCACGGCGATGGTCTTAGTGGGCTCTGCAATCAGAGTTTTAACATAGGAACAGTTTTTGATGCACTTGCATACAGCTTTAGACTGTAATGATTACTCAGCCTAAGGAGAAGCTGTGAAGTCTGCCATTTAGCATGACACTCAGTCTAGTAGGGGCAACACCTCTGAGCCACTTCTGTTCTTCCCCTGATGCTGCATAATGGGTTTGTTCTCATAAAATGCTTGAAGAACTTGACACACAGGAATAATTTCATTGAATCAGACTTAGATAAGCCTTTGACTTTATAGAGTGCTGACTACTTCACAGATCAGTAGCCAGAGTGCAGTAAGTCCTGCAGATGGTGTAAGGGTAGGAAAGATCAGGTGTAATTAAAATAGCAGTCCTGGGTTACCTGTCATGCAGGTGATGTGGCGATTATGCACCATCTGCAAATGGATAGACAAAAAAGAATCTGTAGATTAAAAATAATCTATTATTGTTCATGGAGGTACAGTAGCTGAAGGGAGAGAAAAGCAGGTGGCCAGAATACAAGCCCATAGATGGAAATACTTCTTGCCTTTGCCTGTAGTGTCCGACCCAGATGGGTTCAGCCTTCAGGCAAGAATGCTGAATTGCCTTCCTAATGAGAAGAACCTATTGGCATTAGATACTCCTATGATTTATAGGAAATAGGAAATTCTCCTAAAACTTGCAGACAGATCAGAAATGACATTCTGGTAAGAGTTTTAATGACTAATGAAACAGTTTGAAGGGCTGGATGTAACCTTGAATCAACAGCAATTGCTTGCTATCAGAAGTAACATTTACAGGCAGTACTTGCTTTACTGCTGTGTTAACAAAGAAGATTTAACTGTTTCTTCTGTAATTCTGGTGTTACTTCATACTCCTTTTACTAGGGTGACTTCAGCCTACAATCAAAATGAAAGAATATTCACACAATAAATAACTTATTCATACATGATGCACTAAATTCTTTGCTTGCCATTAACTGGTAATGACTTAGATGAAACTCAAGTCTTCTGTGGAGTACAAATAATAGTGACATGCCATTTGTTTTGTTTTTACACTTTGGGATTCTTCATCATGTATTTCCAAAATGTATCGACTCTCCAGTGCTAAGATAAACATTACAAGTACTCGCAAGAATGCCTGAAGGATTTTTGAAACTAGGTAAGCAGTATAGTATCTGGCTATGTAAAGACATGGATTATTTGTCATACTAATCCCGTTTGAATTTAAAAACAAAGTGACAATTCCAAAAGCATTTTGCCATTAAATGTCAAGCTGTTCAGTTACAGCTTGACAGCAACACCAAGGAGATGAAGTCTGTTTTCCATGCTGTTTTGCTGCCTATTGTGATGTGCTGTGTGGACTTAAACTACTCTGAACGGTGTGTCTGCTTTTGAGGTGGTGACTGCTCCACAATACTCATGTAAACAGGTTTTGACTCACAGTTACATTGAGGCTATAATTCCATGCTATCCTGTTTTCATTAGCGAAGGCACAAGAAATGCATTCCTGTTCTTTTGATTCTTTCCATCTACGACTTGTGCAAATTCTGGGGGCTGTAGTGTATATCAGGTCAGTGAAATGATTTTAGCTTAAAAATATTGTTTGCCATAAGAAAGGAGGAAAAGGATTTGAAAGGGAGCCTACATCATTATAAACTGTATTATAGCCTGAATAATTTCAATGACCCCATGACTGCCAGTGATATACCATAGGTGCAATATCCTTAAATCAGCTCTGCCACTGAAAGACTGGGTCTTGTGAAACCAGCAACATCTAAGATGCATCTGTTATCGAACCTGCTTGGACAGAATAAAAATAAATTCATCGTCTAGGGCATATATAAAGAATCAGTCACCTATCTACAACCAAAACTTAGTTTAGGTTTGGATATATTGATTTATATTCAGTGGTGGGCACTGTTACAGGAGCAAAATACCCACTATTATCATACCCAAAGGATACAGTATTTATCACTGTCATCTGAAGAGGGAGGTGATGTTTCCTTATTCCCACTCATACTGTTCTTGTACTGCATACTTCTTTTTCAAAATAAGGTATTACCACCAGAGTGTGTTAGGGCTCAGCTGGAGGTCACTAAATTGCAGACACCAGTGCTTCTTATTTGTTTGGGGTTTTTTAAACCTTTTCTGGACTTCACATGACAACTGAAAAAGACATCTCAAAATAGATGTTTAAAAAAACCCCCAACACAACAAACCTTAAACGAATTTTCTGCTTTTCAGTTTACCTTAACAACTCTTTGGTATTTGTGAAATACTATTTCTGGTATGTCCCATTTTATAAAATTCAAACCCAAGAGTGACAAGATACGCTTTCTTCTGAAAGGAATCACTAGCATTTCCAACCAATCAAGTCAACAAAGCTTCTTAATTTAATGGCAAAGTTTATTCATTTTTTAACAATTAAAAGACAAAACATTTAAAATTTGCAGTTCAAAACATGCACATTCACCAAATGCCAAATGACATTTAACACTGCATAGAACTGAATGTGTTACTAAAAGAACTATTTAAAAAACACAGTGCATTTAACATCCAGTTAAAACTAAACCTGAGAAACTACCATGAACACCGAGTCAAAAAATCTTCATTCATGCAGCTTCGTAATTTCCATGACAGTTTCAGCAGTAATGGCCTAGTGGAGCTGTAAAACCTCACTTTACCTTGAATGCAAATTCTGCTGTTTCAGACTGACGGCTTCTGCAGCAGTTCGTACATATCAAACACTGAAAATCTTAATGAGAAGTTACGCCGAAGTAGAAAAACAATATTGATGCATTTATGGCTTCTATTCTACATTAAAGACACACCATAAAATATGATTTAAAAAAAGAGAGTTGTTCTGGTCACAGCTTTGCAATTGCAAATCACACTGCACATGGATATACTTTTATTTCAGTATCAGCCCTCCAAAGTACCCAACTTTGCACATCATTGCTCAGACGAGTAGTCCTTATACTCACAGGCAGTCCAGTTGCAGCCTATTGAGTAACAGTTTGCATAAGCAGGAACCAGGTTTGGAATGCTAAAATATTCCTTTGTTTAATAAAGATCTATTGGTTAACAGCGAGGAAACTGGGGAAGTGAGGGGGGGGGAGAGAAGGAGAGGCTCATTTGTTGAGTTTTGTTACCAGTGAAAACATCCAGTACCAAGGAAGCTGAACTGACAAACTCATTTGCTTAAATAGCACTAGCTTCTCGATATATTATGAGCAGACTTTTAACAAAGGCATTAAAAACCAGGAATCAACAACCACCATGCATTGCCTCAGAACATATTTAGATATAGTGCCTCATGCAGACAGAATGATAAATTCATCAGAACTACAAGTGCTTATACACAACGTACAAGAAAAAAAGGGAAAAAACTTCTCTCCTTAAATTTATCACATATGCCAAATTACTCATCAATCAAGATGGTTTCAAATGTGACAGAAGTCTTAAGACACTTAATGCTCATCTTTGTAACATGGTGAATTTTATGGATACATGTGGACATACAGGAATCTTCAGCTATCTCTTCGTGTTTCAAAATATTTTATTTATAATTTTATACAAATAGAATGATGACTAAGTATAAATCTGTTGAAACTGCTTTGCAAAAATATGTGTAAAATTAGGAAATGGCAAGAAAAAATTCCAAATACAAATTATCAATAGGTTTGTCAAAATTTGTTTCCAGATATTTCTCTTTTGAATAATTTATATATATATGTATATATTTAAAAATAATCAAGCAACAGTATTTATATAAGATACTCGATTTTTAAGTGGCACTGGTTCAATTTTCAGATGGAAATTTTTAATACTAACTTGCAGTGCACATGAAGCAGAAATGTCCGTGTGAATTCTATATTTAAAGCACATTTGAATTTTCAAACAATAGTAACAGAGGCATTGTTCTGAGCATTTTGCCTAAACTGGTTTTTTTTCTTTAAACAAACATCAGCAGAATCCCCTTATTTTAACAAAGATAAGATGAACTAATAGGATGGTAATAGATTATATTACTGTCTATTTAACATGAAAATAAAGTGCATATTGTATACTTGAACTGATTTAAAAATGGGCATACATAGCTAAGATAATCTTATATTTTAAAATGGAATTGTATGAGCAATCAAAGCCCACAATTTTTGCGACATCTGTCTTTTCCACTATTTTTAAGAAGTGATATCTTCCAACCACTAATTAGCAGAAAAAGTATAGAGGCAGGAGAAAAACCTCATCAGAAGTAATAAAAACGAAAAATGCACTTTGTGAAATACTACTTCAAATTCTGCAAAGGATGAAATGCTCTGATGTCACTATCTTAAAAACCTTAAATTACATTCTCAATTTAGGATATTAGAGCTGTTTCAGTTGCTTTTTTCCTTTTTAAGATAGTTAAACTGGGGATATATTGTGTTATTTTCCTCAAACTGCATTACAATGGTAAGACAGAATTTTATTTAATAGGAAGAATAAGATCATGTAAATATCTCACTGTAAATATTTTACAAAGTATTTTAGTCATCATGTCCTTTTCTAAAAAATCAGCAACTAAGCCATTTAGAACAGAAAAAAAATTATTCATGAAGAGAGTGTGTATGGATTGAGTAATTTCATATGAGTTAAATACACTGAAAGATTATAAAGGAGTATCATGGTAATTTCAGAAATGTTTTTAAGTTGGTCATTGTCCCTTGGATGACAAAATAGGGAACCCTATTTTAGGAAAGGGGCATGCCCCCAAATTTTTTCTTGCCTTAGGTCAAGTGATTTGGCCCTCCCATATTGATCCATCTATTTATCTATGCCTGAAGTGGCTTTTCTGAAGGCAGCTCTTGTCTGCATGGCTGACTGGCAGTACTGTTTCTAGTGGGATACGTTCCCTTTGTCCCTGTGTCTTCTGTTTTCTGTTTAAAGATCACTCCGGGAAAGTGAGAGGAAGACATTGCATAACATGCATATGAAATGCAGACTGCCTTCCCACTGATACACCTTCCTAAATATGTACTTTCTAACAGTGCCTATTGTTGGGCGTTCCATGTGGATTTTTAAGTTTCTCTTAGAATGGAGCATAAGAAACTTGGACAGTGCAATAAATGATATGTTAGGTATTTAGCTAGATGAAAGGCCAGGAGGGGAAGTCACCTTTAGTAAGTGTACAAAGGAATGAAGGAGGGCAGACAAAAGATAGGACTGGATGACTTCTTATTTCTAACTTGAAAGTGGACAATTTGGAGAGCAAAGAGGAAATTTTTAATTTAACAGATCACTGGGGATATAGTTGTTCTGCTTTTCCATCTAGTTGGTCTCCATTGAAGGAAAGAAACACAAAATTCCTATGTAATGCACAGAAATTTGATTGATTTGATAAAACCAACTGGTATTATAGAAAATTGTATTTTAAATGTATTTATGGTGGCTTTTAAACCCAGAATTAAACATGGACTAAAATGTTGCAAGAATTAACTAAATTCTGAAGTTCAAGTAGTTTGAAACCTGATGGTTGTTGGGTGTTAAGCGAGAAATACCAATGGTATCACAATGTTCTCATCCCTCTTTTTTTCTTCTTATACCAGGTGTATATCTTTTTTTGCAGTCACTTCCTCTCTATGCTTAATTAAAGGTGAGAGTATATGGGTATTCTGCATGACCAACAAGTTGTAAAGAGACTGCTGCAATGTATTTCACACCTTTATAAGAAGTGACTTTAGTGCAAATAAACCAGTACATACCACAGACTAGCGAAGGGCATGCTTTGCTCTGTATTTCAATGTATGCATTTAAAATAATCTGAGTATAAAAATGTTGAAAATTTGATTAATTTTAAAAAATAAGTTAAAACAAACTTTCTTTTGAACCTACAGTATAAGCAGGTACAACTAAGCATCACAAAAATAATTGTTTGCTAAAGGGAAGTAAGGCAGAGCAATTCTTAAAAACTGAACAAAACAATATGTGTACAAGTTGGCAGCCATATTCAACATATGCAATACTAAATGAAAATAAGGGGAAAGCTTGTATAAGGCCAAAGGTGCAAAGACTTGCAGTTTTGAAAGCAAATGCCATAAAGGCCACTCAAATTAGACTCACTGTACTTTCTCCTCAAGTGTGGAGACTCAAGCATGCAGTTCTGAGATCAGGACTGGAAATAATTTCCTTTCAAATTATTTCTAACAACAGAAAACATTTATGGAATTTCTTTGGCAAATGTTTTTAGGTTAGTTTGACACAAACATCTATGAACATCTCAAAATCTTTCTTAAAGAAGGCGAATTAACACCATTAAGATACATTTTTTTTAGCACTTGTTGAAATCAAAGGCTTATTATCAATTGTATTTAAATATATTAACACTTAAAAACCTTCATAGATGCTAATTGATCTGTCAGTGTAAAGTAGGTTTAGCAATTTGACCTTCGCCTTTCTAGTATATTACCAGTATTGATTCAACTTCATTGTAAAATAAGCAAGCTGGCAAGATACAAGGTGAATTCCAATCTGTTTACAAAGATTAAGCAAGTACTTGTTAAAAAATTTAGAGATGGTGTTTTACAGTATAGTTGCACAGTGCTTATGTCTACTGAATACACAAATCCAAACTTTATGGAACAAGACCATCATAGATCTTTCAATCTCTGATAACTGAGCCATGGTCACAGCTCCCAGCAAAGATCTAGTAGCCTGTCTCACAAAACTAAGTGCTAAGGCCTAAATCTAGAGCTGCGTTCCTTCACCATTCCTCAGGCCTTTGCTTTGTGGTATCATAAGCTCTTATTACTTCAGATTGGGAAACTATTCCATTTTCATCTTGAGAGAAGGCGTAGCCATCTGCAGATAGAAAGCAAAATAGAAACCAATTAAGGTTTTTTCTTAAAGCTTTAATAAAAACAACAAAGGTCAACAGAGGAGAATAAACCTCTTTTCAACAATTAATAAAAACCCATGCCATTTCTTACACAATTTCGTACATATAAAATAGCAGAAAGAACTCTGTGCATGATCTTAGGAATCAAGAGAAACTATCAAAAGGCAAATAAGTTGGTCTAATGATTTTAGAATACTGCATCTTTACTATAAATAAATGCAGTAAAAGGCAGAATTTTACTTCTATGTTACTGGATATTAATTTTTGTCAGTGAACACTTACGAAGCAAGTTTTGCTGCAAAGAGTCAGAGCGATACAAGTTCACATGGTTCTTCTTAAAAACATTCTTCAGCAGCTGTGCTCTTTCAGTTAAGCTAGAAAGAAAGTAGACACATGAAAAATATTTACTTACTAATTACACTATTCCTTTGAGTCTGTTCAATGGGAATGAATCATTAAGTGAAAAGTGTCCATCCTTTTGCTTTTTAAATTGTGCCTGATGAATTATGAAGAAGATGATTAAAAGTGTGTGTGTAAGGACATATTATTAAGTCCAGATCCCTGGTAATGATTTTACTTGTCAAAATACAGTGATATCAAAATATCTGTTTGAAAATTTACAAAATATATATCTGTTTGAAACACTGCTGTGCTGGCAACACAAATAAATAATATTGTAAACCTTTCAGCATGACTACTTTAGAAACACGCAGTGTGAAGGGAAGGCACTGTATTCCTTGATGTAGCATGGCTTGATTAGTGCTAGGCTGAGTTACGTCTTTCTAACACAGAAAGTGCTCCTAGCCTCTACTCACACCGTACCACAAAGGGATAGGAAAACGAGATGGAGAGAAAGTCACATTCATAGTCATCAGCTGCGTGTACAGAAAAAAACATATTATTTCCATGGAAAGTGTTCTAGCAGGACATATTCCCCGTGAAACTCCAGAAGGTGTTTTTCTGGAGATCATACCCAAATAACAGACTACTATTGCTGCTAAGGCTGACTACCTCAGCTCACCTGCTTCCTTCCCAGCACTACTGAGTTTGTTGTGTTATACGTTTATTGTGTGACCTTTAGTGTGACCCAAGTGACTCTCCATTCCAGCCAACTGGAAAGCAGGAGTATTAACCATTTATCAAATTGAGACTCACGCATCAGCTGAATGCTGCAAACTGTAGTGAATGGAATAGCAAAGTACTGGGTTTCCTCACTGTCCGTCTTTCTTACATCTGAAGTTCTCTCAAACAGGACCTCACATTACTAAATAAATAACAGGTGGACTAGCCATAGCTCAGAAAGCTTTCAAAATCTACAGTTTTGATAACATATTAAATATGTTAAGGGACTATATTAAAAACCCTCTCACACAAACCCTTCAGTGTCTTCCTCTAGATTTGATATTCACTGTGAATTAGAACATGTGTTTCAGAGAAATATCTATTCATTGTTGAAACATTTCAAATGCTGAAAAATCTAACCCCTCTCCATGTGAACTGGTCTAAAAATCAGTTCAATTAAAAAAAAAGAAGTATCTTATGTTTATTCTGAGTATACAGTGATTTGATTTCATTATGGTTTTGCTAGATTACCAAAGCTGTCTCTTGTATAAGAATGTAGTAAGTAAAACAAATTTCACATATCTTACGTTACCAAGTTTTGATTACTCCAATTACTTTTTAATATTCTTGTCAATTAGCTCAACGGACTTACCTTCCCAGGCTACCAGCCAGACTAAGTGGTGCAAGGAATGGAACTAGATTGCTTTCCTCACTAGATTACCATTCAAACCATTAAATTAGAAAGGCTCATTCTTTCATCAGTGAGTATATACTTATATATGAAGCTTAACCACTGGTTAAGATGGAGAGACTAATGTTTTATCTCCCTTTTCTGTTCCCCTCCAGCCTGGTGGTTAAAGCATATACCAGGAGGTGAAAGCCTGGCTTTTCTAAGTTGGAGAAGAAAAACAGATCTACTATTTCCACACTCATTACAAAATCTACAGGGTAAGGAATAGGCAGGGGAAACTGCTTCTGCTGACGTTTTTTGAATGAAAAGATGGAATGAGATTTCCTTGTAAAGAAGGAATTAGGTACCAATACCAGGAAAGTAGTTAGCATTTGCTGACTGAACCAAGAATGGAGAGGTTGAAGTACTGGAACACATCTTACTCTCAGTGTTTTCCTAAGCTAGCTCTCTGGGGATTTTTTTTCCCATTCTCATTGCTCCTCTAGGCTGTGTAGGAGCCTTCTTTTTTAGCTCAGAGCTGCTGTTAAAGTGACAACATTAATAAAAAATTCAGGACTGAAATTTAAACCACAAGGATACAGAGAGCGAATATATAAATCAATAACTTCATGTAAGATCGGGGGTCAAAGAGGTGGAAGACCGTGCAAATACTTAGATACAGTTATCAGCTGCATCTCCTTTGCAATACATCTATGAAACCCTTCATAATGTGAGTTGAAATCAGCAAATTTCTATGAAATGTTTTTTTTGACAGGTGTTATTTTCTAACTAAAAAATATTTTATTAAAAACATACCAGGCCTACTATAGCATTTTTGGTACCATCATTCTTTCCTTGTGTTCCAGAGTGAAATATTCAGATTGCTTAAATGCTAAGCAGTGAAAATACTACCTTAAGTTATACAGAATCATGAAGTATGCACGTCTTAATTTATGTATAATGAAATTTCCACTGCACAGATCTGACTGCTGGTACAGAAAATACAAAATAAGTAGGAAATACATGTAGGAAAAGAAAAATGCTTCCAGCTATTCAGCTATTAAATTCTGCTCTTTTTCTATACTTGAAATACTGTGGGCTCTCTATTATGAATCACCCTGTTGCCATTCAAAAGCCTATTTAAATATCTACATGTGAAGCCCAGAAAACATGGTTTCATAATTAACCAATGATAGATCATAGTAACTAAATCCCTTATGCTCATTATGTGTACCTATATGGACAAGCAGAATATTAACTATTTTTGAACATGAAATGTATATCTTCACAGGTAATTAATCACATATATATATAAAAAATACTACTTTCTGTATACCTGACCAACCACTTATCAAGTTTAAAAATAATTTCTAAGTGATCTGAATTAAAAACAATGATTCTTGAAGCAGCATTTGCAGTATATATCTCTAAAGACATTTCCACAATTTTGAACTGTTATTCATGTTAGTGTTAGTCCACGTAGTTAGTATTCGATACAACAGAAATATTTTTGTAGCAAGTATTAATACTGTTGTTTCTGCTTAAGCATTATATATGTTATCCGAAAAAAAACCTTTTTGAACAATGATTCATATACAAAAAAGTATCCTTTTACCTTAGTCATTTCAATTTTAAGTAGAAATGGCTAAGCAGCATTTCAATTACAGTAGTTCCAATGATTGAAATTGTACTTGTTGTGCCACAAATTTGTTCATCCACTGAAGTTGCTCTATTACTTATGCTGTCAAGGCACCCTCAAGTCAACAGTATTTCACATTGAAAATTTACTTTCTGTTGGAAAAATAGCCGTGCAAAATTTGCTTCTTCTTGCTCAAGATAATATTCTTACTTAAGTGACAAATATATGGGATAAACCAGATTGTAATGTCTTGTCTACAGAAGAATGGAATTAAGTATTTTTGGACAGTTTTGGGGAAAAATATCACTAAGAATCCTTACACTGAAATGGCAAGATATGATAGCAATGCTCTTCCCGAGCCTTTGATGATTACAGTTTAAAAACCTTTTCAAATCTTCACTGTAAATATACAAGAGATGTCAGATTTTGAGACTGTATTATCATGTCCTACTTTTAAAGCATATGCTAAAATACAATAAAAATATTTGAAGAATAATATTTTAAATTATTTCAATGTATTTTCAATCTGTCTTGGTCTTGGACACTTCTGGGGATGGGGTTGGTGCAACTCCTATGAGCAACCTGTTCTAGTGCTCATCACCCTCACAGTAAAGAATTTCTTCCTAATATCTAATCTAAACCTACTCTCTTTCAGTTTAAAGCCATTCCCCCTTGTCCTATCACTACATGCTTTTATAAAATGTCCCTCTCTGGCTTTCTTATAGGCTCCCTTCTAAGTATAACATTCAGATACTGATTACAGCATCTAGCCAATAGAAGAATCCTGACCTGTTACCTAAGCCTCTTACTTTTTGTTGAAGAATTTTTAAGATGGGAATAGACAGAATGGAAAAGTTTCTGAGTTATCTTTCCCACTATCTCCCAGTCACCTCTTAATCAAGCAGTGATTTATATCTTCTTAGGTTATTTTGACATTTCATGAGAAGAAATATCTTCTTCTGCTACAAGACAAAAAGGTACTTCTATGCACACAAGAAAAATATCTGGTCCTGAAAAATACACAGTAAGTTTATAAAAAAATAAAGAACTATTTGTTCTTGCATGAAAAGCACAACAACTCAAGACTAAAAAAGTGTCATGTACATACTTAAAACAGATGTAGAGGACATTCCTTACCTATTTAACTACTTACTATGCACTGATAACTAGTTCATCCAAGCTTCTACAATTTAAGAGACTCAAAAATGTTTTCAAAAGTTCAATCAAATTTTTGAAGATGCAAGCAAGTCAGTTCATCAGACCATTTCTTTAACAAAGAATCATTTCTCCATAAAAAGTAGAGTGACTCTATTACATGAATTTAGATATAATTTTTAAAAATGGAGGGAATAAAACCTTAAGAGATATTAAGTTGTGTAGCATCCATTGATTTGCATCCAATGTTGATGTTTGTATCCTTCAAAAATACAGGTCTAAAAATAACTTTGTGGAGAATGAATAGACCTAAGAAAGACATTCTGGATGGTAATGAAAAAAACCTTCATGGACTCTCATACCTACTTAATTGTGGGATAAAAACCTAATTATGAAACTAGTCGTGAAAACTCCAAGTTCATTTTACCTATATAAGAAGGGATTTGGAAGACACGCTATATGTAGGATGAAGGAAAAGCATACTGCCTAGACAACTGAAGTTAAAGTAGCTTAAATGGGGAATGCAGGTATGGAATACTAAAAAGGTACATTACTGTACTTTTTTCTACATCCACAACAGATTCCTGTTTGATCACTATCTAGTACTAATTTTTTTAGTACTGCTTTCTTTTCGGCAATTCATTCTTTTACAACTTTTGCTCTTTGCAAACAAATATACAGCATACATTGCTTCTGGCTCAAAGCCCAGCACACCAATACATGACTTGGTTAATCTGGAGGAAAATCTTGCCCTGAATCTCCCCGAATGAGCAGTGCCACTGGAGAAAAGCATCCGTAACCATCAATTTAGATCACTTCTAAAGGTAAGAGAACTTACTCTTGCAAGCACTAGTTGGGTCTTGCAGTGATGAAGGAAAAGTAGGCTCAAAGTAGGAATTGACATCAACTAGGGGGTTTTGCAGTACTTCCAGTCTGAAGCTGCTGCTACAAAGACAGGATATAGTGCCTGATGGGAGACTGTACCCACCACACTAGGCTAGGTGTTCCACGAGTGGTGGGATAAGCTTCTAGGTCTCTTGGCATCTCCCCTGGAACTTGTATATGTTGCTGGGGGAGAAGAACCCAACTAGAGGCAAAACTTTCTTGTGAAAGCGCTCACACAAGCTGGATATTCCCTCATTAGAAATGGTGGTTATCACCTTGGTATCTGATGTAATTTGATCTCAACCTGGTAAATCCTAGTAAAGTAATTACCCCTGAACTGGAAGGGGGATGAAGTAAGATTTAAGGAGAAAGGGAACTAAGGAATCTTTATGAACAAAAGGTACTTTCTGAAAATTGAACCTATAATAAAAGAAATGACTGTGTTTTTTCTGGTCTCTTTCTGGGCATAGCTGGGTAGGAAAAAAGCCTCCTTGGCTAAGCCCTTTGCCATGAAGTAACTAAAAGAACAGCAGTCCAAAGGAAAGAAAGAACAGGAAAATCAAGTATCAGCAGTTTTGGCTTTTTTTTAGACATCACAAAACTCATGAAAATGAAGACAAGGAAAGAAAGCTCTAGCTCAGCCAAATGGCACTAATGAATTGGAAGGGGGGGAGAGGGGGGTTTTGTCATCTCATATTCCATTCAGCAAGCGCTTGCTGTGAGTTCAGCTAGGGTTAAAAAGTCTGAAGTGTTTTAGTGAGTGCACACCTTTATGCTGAGAAAATGTCCAGTTGTTCAGTTTTACCTTCTCCCTTTTCAAATTACCTGCTTGGCCCACGAAGGAGGATGTAACAAGGGAATTCTTGTGGAGTCTTAAGTTAAAAATCTTTTTTACCTCATATAGGTTAGTCAAATTAGTTTACTTTGGACTGGCATTTGATATAAAGCCAGGTTTTTATATTCAGTTTCAGAAAACCCTAGCCAGATTTATTGTTTGTCCCTATGCCACCAAGCAGGTTCTATAAAAACTTAATTTTTCTTTTGTGCTTATGCCCAATTTATGACTCTACTAGTGAATAATACAGGTTTAAACTAATTTTGTATTAATTGTTAACATAGTCACAAGTGATGCAATTAAAATTGTACCTCAAGTTTGTTCTACATCCAATAACTAGAAACTAAACAGTCAGTTACAAAGAAACACATCAGTTAAAGCTTTTGGTAAAAACCTACATGTAAGCATATGAAAAAACACGGAGCTCATTAGACCTGAAGCCCCTTTACAGATGTCTTTTTTCTGTATGGATTTTTGAAGAATAACCTTTTGTCTTTGATATATATATAAGGCTTAAAATATTTAGCTGTTTTGTTTCTTTTTTTTTAAAGACAACGTTCTACAGGATTTTACAGTACCTCTTGCCATGCACAACTGCCCCAGGATCCTCAGACTTCGCTTCCAACTCCTGAACTTCATCTACCAGTGTCTTGTAAGTAGCTCTCTTTACTCTGTAAGTATATACAAAATACTATCATATTTATTCCCTTGAAAGCAGAACAGGTAGTTTAACATTTACATAAATATTCAATTTATAAATCCATTTTCCCAGACTTAAAACTAAGCTTTACAGAAAGAAATATAAAAAAAACAAAATATAAAGAATGTATTTTATCAGCTGTTCTTGCAAATTAGAAACAAAAAATATTTAACAATAAGAAAATACAATTATAGAAACATTTAAAACAGTAATAACACTTGTAATAAAGTTTTTCAAAAACAAAAAAGGTGAAAAATAATGTTATATAATCACAGGAATTGATCTTAATTTCTTTTTATTATATTAGTAATTAGAACACATTTAAAGGTCACTGCTTTCTTCTGTAAACCTCAGCATTTCTGTACTCACACTTTGTATACTATATCAAGAAGTAAAGCTGTCATAGGAATACACAGAAGTCCCATCCAAAACACTCCAGAGCTGAACATCATCGCTGCCTGAAGGGAAAAATGCACAAAATGTGATGATGTCATGACAAGAACTAGGAAAAAAAATCTTAGAAATATTAATTACTTAGTTGAGGCTATCAAAAGCAAATTTAAATGAACTGTTCTGGTCTGTCTAATATGAAATAAAACTTCAACTCCTTTCTAAAATCCCCTGAGTCGCACCAGAAATCCAGTAGATAGTAATTCATGTTAATAAGCTGGTAGAAAGATGCACTGCTTAGCTCTTTGCATGGGGGGAAGCTACCCCACCACAATGCTGCTCTATACTACTACGCTGATTATGGGCATTTCCATTAAAATCAGATTTATCAAAAATCCACCCCCTTCAAACTTTGTCAACACATTATGAGCACAATTTCCTATTTGCAATTGACCCTGACAGGATGTAACTGTTCCTGAACCTTCGTATGGATACTGAACAGTGTTACAATCATTCTGCAATATAACTTGGATTAAAGTTATCTCCCACAGAACTCACTGTACCACACTGCCACAGACTCCTGTTAAACAGATTCCTTAAAAAAGGGAAATAAGAAAACAGCTCTTTATGTAATTATAAGAGTATGCAACATATCGTTAAATGAAGATCTAACACATTAATACACGGTGAAATTTTGAAAACCATGTAATTATTTTTAGCTGTGTATTTTTTTTTATACACTGCTCTATATAATACATAGGAATTTCTTCTGTTCATAACTTGGTCTGTAGCCATACTAAAAACTAAAGCACACTAAAAAGCTAAACCAAACATCACAATGTATAGACATCAAAGGAAAAAACGTATTTACGCTTGTAACTCACGCTCAAGTGCCTGCATCAATAACAGTATGGATGCAAGGATTATGATAAATACTTAACGAAGCATATTACTGGAAATTTGTTTTGCAGTCAGTATTTAAAATAACTTTATAATGTAATTAGATTGTACTGGGGTTGAAAGTAACAATTTTGCACAAAAATATCCTTTAAAATCCTTTGTTTTATTACTTGGAGACTAATTTCTTTCAAAGGTTAAGCCTCAGTATGGAACTAAAATATAAAAGCTGAAATTTTACTAGTTTTAATTAGCAGACAAATGCAGGTAGCTTGCAGTAGCTGAAGTCTAATTTCTTAGCATATGTGAATATTTTCAAATTATACTTGATATGTAGATACATGAAAACAGAAATTATTTTCAGGAAAAAACCCTATTTAACATATAAGTAAAAATTCTATTTACCTTGTTTTTGTATTCAAATTCCGAATGATTCTTTGGAAAGCATTAAAATTTGGCAAACTTTTCATGGAAATGTTAAAAGGGCATAGATATTGCCTTGAGATTCTAGTAATTATTTCTGCCAACAGCTGTCAGCTCACATTTTTAATGGAGAAAAAAAATTTTATCAGGAAGTGGAGAAAATATACTAGTGCAGAAAATGTATTAGCATTAGTCACTTTAGAAGCGAAACATGACTTTGACATACTTGATGAAATACTCATTTTCTAAAACAGAAGCTAACAGGAAATGTCTATCACAAATATATTTTGCAAGACATTTTATAATTAAGTCGCAATTAGACAGCTTCCTTAAAAACAAGAAAAAAAGCATAAAAATACAACTTGAAGTAATTGCAACTCTTCCTATTATTAATAACGTTTTTTAATTTATAAGAACATAGCAAGGAGTTGTCCTTGCGTTTAGCCACCCGGTATTAAATGTTTGCTGGTGAAACAGCAAAAGTGATAATGTAGGTCTTAGGATGTTAATTCTGACCATTGTAATGCTAACTATGAATGAAGGAACAACTGGCGCCTACTATTCAGTCCATCCAGCCTTTGGCTTTACAAATGAACAACATGAATTGAGGTAAAAAAAAAAGTTTTTCTGCGTCATATTTGAAAGCCTGTCAGATTTTTTTTCTTTTACAGAGTTAATCCAAACCTAAAAGATTTAAAGCCGACATTCGCATTAAAGACAGAGGGCCTCTTTGTATTTTTTGGACGAAGAGGGGAAAAAATAAAATCCCACAGAGGTATTTCCTTCCTTTCTGTACAAGAAAGCTCCCCCCTCACTCTGTAGAAAACATTTTTGTCTCTAACTTTTCACATCTCTCTACACATAGGCAGGTCATCTGGGAAATGGCAAACCAATCCTTTTCAGACAATGGCACTAACAGGAGCAGCCTGTTCTGGGGACGGACTCTGGCTGCCTCTGTTTGTGGTTTACAAATTGTTCCTAATGTGAGAGATTTGTGGTCTATGCCAAGTCTTCCCCCTTTAGGCCTTGTGAAACCAAATGGAATCTGCCACAAAAGTGGCTCCCAAGGGAATTCAGAAGTAATCCAAAATGAGAGCTGGGAAGCCAAATTTATTGTAGGACTTACAAATCCTGCTGGGGGAATAAACAATTTGTTCCGTGTGTAGCTCATACTGAATATTATCACATTCTAAAATAAATTAACATTGTTTATTAAGTGCAACATATAGATTTTTATATAAGCTTTTATTTTTTAAAAAAGAAAAAGTGCTGAGAAATACTCCTTTTTGAGGCTTAAAGGCAGATTAGAAATCCTGGCTGCAGAACATTTTTAATGCACTGATGAAGATGTACTATTGGGAAATTACATGTCAGAATGAACAGAGAACATTCCCTTTTTCTTCATTGTGAAATGATCTGCCAAAACTGCTGGCTCAGGTTTTTTAAAGCCTTCTAAAAATAAGGAGAGAAAGATGAGACTGGTAAAATTGTTGCTGCAGAAAAGCTTACCCTTTTCAGTTTATCTATTTTAGGTATCATCTAGGTATATATTTTCATCCTATAAACTACAGAGCTATTAAAATAATACCTCCTCAACACCATCAAACCAAAAAAAGTTTCCCTTCTCAACCTACAAAAACAACTTCATTAGTTTTAATTATCTTCATGTGTTTGCCTTCATATATGCCAAAGTACTTACTGTTGTAACATTAAAACAGATCTGCATTAACTTTCAGTGCAGTGAAGTTCCTACAATTAAGTTCTTGTATTGCCCCTAGTCTTTCTTTGCTATTTCGAGGTTAAAAAAACCTCTCTTAGTTTCTATTAATTAGGAAGTATGTTCCTCAGAATCCCAAAGAATTAAGTTCCTCCCTATTAGGAACTCTGGTTATTAGGTATATTAAAAAGGGAATCTCTCCATTTTCTGCAAATACAAAGTCTCACTGGTATGTACGAGGTACTGAAGCAAAGGGAGCACCGGGTAGCGAGGAAGCAAATAACTGTGGATATTTGCAGGCAGAACCTATATATTCTTACTTTAAAAAATCTCCTATGAACAAGAAAAATGACTAAGGACAGAGTAAGTAATATGCCTTTGCTTTTTCCCTGTCTATCTCCTCTCATTTTCTTCCTCTGTGGATATAAATAGTCCATTGCAGGATGCCCAATTTCCACACTGCAGGTGGGTATGAGAGTGGGCTGTATCCCACAGAATGATGATTAGATGATGGTCTTAATTATATAAATGGAAATAATAAATGATGTAGTAAATAACAGAGAAACATACATAAAAGCTCACACAGGCATGTACTATAAATCCTAAAGCTTCAAGTACTTCTAGACTAAGGTCTCTTTTCTACAGATATGCCTTTACTTCAGCTACTTTATTTCATTAATATTTTAATATTCCAAGTATTCACTGGAATACATGTCTTTTCCTAGGGAGGACCTTAATCAGTCAGGCTGAGCAAAAGCTAGCACACTGCCTCTCCCGATCCAGTAAATTATGATTACTCTATACAAAGTGGAACAGCAGACGATACAATTCTCTGTTCAATCACCGTTTCAGCAGAAGGCATTACTCTAAAAGTTGCAAAGTCAAGAGAAATTTAAATCTGTCTTTTGGGTAACATTCATTTGGGATGAAGGTTTTAGTACTTAACTGATGGATAAATTGAAATTTCCTGAAAAAGCTGGAGAGGAGAATGACACACAAACAGAAAAGCTTCCCTTAGAATTAGGAATGGAAGAAGGTTCCATTGGCAGAAGTTTGGCTAACAAGGTTGCGCTACAGCTTGAACTAACAGATATGAAAAATAACCTTTAGAAAACTAGAGAGAATCAGCCTTCTGGATGTGAAATTAGACAAGCTAGAAAGTGCTGGCAAGTTGATATTTATCACACTTTTAATCATGCTTGTAATCAGAGAACATTAGCTTTCTAATGAAAAAGCTAGATTGCTTTCTTTTGCCTCAAAGGAAAAGACTCACAGGGAAACAAACCCATCTGAGTTGATTCAAAGATGAGAAGAAAGAGTATCTGGCAAAGGAGATGCAAAACCTCAGTGAGAAGGTGAGTTCTGGTGGTTCTACAGAGTTTGTTACTATGATGGTTGTTGTCTGCACTGTAATAGGTGTAACAGGAAGGAGTACAGAAAACACTGCATTTCACCTGAATTTGTAAGGAACAGAAGCCACTCCTCATCACAAGAGAAAGCTTATATGGAGAAAGACGGCAGTTGAACATCATTTAGGAATAGTTGTATGCATAACTACACCAGGGATTTGTACTCAATTTGATTAATAATATTTTAAACCAAAAACCCCCACCCCATAACTTTTGTTCATAAAGGCGATTGGCAATAATATGCTGATGGAAAGAATTCAGATAACATTGAGGTACAGCACCATAGCAATTTTCTTAAAAATACAAGCATTTAAATTTATTTATTTATTATGCTGTATTCTGCAAAAGTTATTAAAATAACACTCATCTGTTTTTAAAAATGGAAGAGACAAGCATCCATTAACAGCACCTTTTACAGCTGGTGGGACAACACACCAGGGCATAAAAGCTGTAAGATCCTTGTAGAGAAGCTGTTGATGTATGGGCTGGATGAACAGACAGTGAGGTACATTGAAAACAAGCTGAATGGCCAGAGGGTGGTGATCAGTGTCAGTCCAGCTGAAGTCCAGTAATTTAAAGTGTATCCCGGGGTCAATACTGGGTCCACTTCCATTTAACACCT